ACCTGCAAATGGCGTAGTAGGGGTATCTTGATCCAGATTGGTTGTTGAAACGTGACATTTGTTTACGTTAGCAATTGTTCTTTCCATTCTATTTCGATTAAGCTAAGCCCATCAGGTATCCAATTCTCTTAAATGACTCATTCTATATTCTTTCACAAAGATTTCAGTTCTTCCACCATATATTTCTTACTTAATACAAAAACTGGGTCGAAGCCATGTAGAACATAAGTAAACTATGCATCGAAGTTGACAGATGCACGCATCAAAAATATATCATAGTTACTATAAAATACAAAGACAAATGATAAATCTAAGTTGAGTGAAAGATGAAGATGAGAAAGAATCATATTTTAGAAAATTCGATGTGCGACACTGCGTTGTATATAATTAACATACATTAATTAACATTCTAACTTATGTGGAAAACTTAGCTCGACTTTAACACGTCATTTTGCTTATGAACGATCAGCTGGTGCTGAGGTCATAGGTCACGTGTCTGTGTATCAGTGATTGTCTTCTTCTTGAGTTGCACCAATTACTGATGTTAAAATGCTATTTATGAAACTGCATTGTTATAATTTCAAGAAAAAGTAAGATACCGTTAAGTGTAGTTTACTATATCTTCTATGTATGGATTGTGTAACAATCTTATTTTTTTTCCCTTCGAAAATTACTAATATGTAAAGTAAAAAGCAATAACGAATTCATAAGTTAAATTTAAATAAGGATGTTTTTTATACATTGTCAGCAAACTTAGGTTAGCAAGCACAATCCACTTGATAAATGTCCTCTTAATCCAGAGGACTCTAAAATCAAAATAACTTTCGGAATAGTTTGTGAGTTTAATAAGGTATTGAACTAATAATGTTTCGAATGAAATGCGAACGTGATCTGGACTAAGTATTTGGTTTGACTTGCCCATCTGGAGAAATTTATAAATCAATAAATCCTGCCAAATAACCGTGAGCTTGGTTACTCTCAATACTTGAGAGTGTAGGAAAATATAAGTTGAGTTTAGATGCCCTTCGGCCTCTCATAAAAATTTACGGTGTTTGTTGAATACGAATATCAATTGTGGGCATAATAAATTTTATACATTCTTCTATGAAGACGTAACATTGTACGATAATGTGGGATTGATCCCCGTATTTCTAAAACATATCTTTTTTATGAATATTTTACCGTTTCACTAACATAACAAAGAATATTAACATAACTTTTTAGTGCTATTTAACGGTGTTTTTCGCCAAGGAAAATAAAAAAGCCACAGTTTAAGTACCTTACACGTGAAGCAATACGATGATTTTAAACTATATTTATAATCTTGCCGTGAGGAATTATCTGGGCTTTCGAACAGATAATTAATTTAAAGATTTTAAAAATTATTAAACTTTTTTTAAAAATCGTCAATTATTCGACATTTTCCCACCAAGTTGAAAATTAGCAAAACCACTGCCTTATTCTCAGTTTTCGCAAATTTTTATGAGCCCAGGTAATGCAGCATTGGTGTAAGTTTTTAGATATTAAAAAACTACACCACACACTCTTTTCATTTTCACAAAACTGTAGTTTTTCTCCATATTGACGTTTTGCTTCATTTTCAAAATAAACTTAGACAGCTCTGGCTTTAGATAGGCTTAACTTGACCCAACAGTCATGAGTAACAGTTGCTAACTCACAGCAGTTCTAAAAATAGCATATTATTCGCTAAAAAGCATCATTTCATATTACGACGAAGTCTTCGAAAAACAGCCTTAAAATAACGACTTTTAAAAAAGCTTAACCAACTTTAAGATTTAGAAATCTTGGTGGTAAACTCCACGGAAATGGAATATGCTTCTTATCTTTATGGTTCAGAAGTGGTGTAACTGTATTATCACTATAAAAGTATACCTCTTATCATCTTGAAACACTACAATTAATTTCTGTCCTTAGTTCTTCTGTATTTCGTAACGAAATTTCATTGAAAAGTATTACTAACACCCAAGAATGTGGGCTAAAAGGAACTTTTATTGATAATAATTGGTTTTGTGCATCGAAAATTGCTTTTAGTGTCTTCCCGGCCCTGTCAATCTAAATGAAGACGTCCATGTGTCTTTCTCGTATTGATATTTTTGTGCAATAATTACACCCAATACCTGGAGGGTTCTGAACTACTTGTTTCTTCCAACCACACCTGTCTTCTTTTATGTATCTTCAGCGGCCAACCCATTAAAAGGAATGACCAAGAACTCTTTGTGGGTGGACAGATCAAGATATTAGAAAACGGAATACTCCCAACCCAGTCAAAAAAAGCTCTTAAATATAAACAGAAAATTGATTAGAGGGTGGGTAACCAGAATGTTAACCGACCTTGTAGAAGGTCGGAAAGCTGTTTCGTTTGTTACATTTATTTTTATTTTAGTTTTAGTACTTCACTTGGCAGTGCAATTAACAAAAACGCCTTCGGCTGTTACCATTTATAAAGAAGTAAACGAATGACTCTTTGTTGATCAGAAAGCATGTCTTTCAAATATAAAATATATACACAGTTTGTGTTTAACATATGATAAGTGAATATTCAACCACAAATTATGAACTTAGATAAATAAAAAGTAACTTACCAGATCTTTACGTTAAGTAGTTAAATAAAAATTGTTATTTGTTACCTATTAATTTATCGTTTTTTAAAGGATAGAGATTTTGAGTTTTAATTTTTTTTTTTTGAAAAATCCTGTTTTTTTCTATTTTTAAATTTTTTTCTATACAATATTTTCCAAAAATTTTAAGTCTGTTGGTGTAAAAACTCTGTTAAAGAGAACATTTGTTATCTTCTCCCTATAAGCTGAACCTGCCGGAAATGAAAATAGAATAAATTAAGTTTACTCTAGCTTCTTTTTTTAATGTAAACGGAACCATGTACCAATCTTATTGAAATTTTTCATACTTGTTCTGGATGGAATCGTTAATTGTTTTTTTATGTTGTTGTTGTTGTAACGGTATCTCACCCATTGTGGTGGTCCTGAAAGAGTGGATACCACCTCTGGAGAACGCACTAGGTCTGCTCATCGGCAAGACCGATTGTGCAGCTCATTGGAAATAAAAATAAAAAAAAATTAAAAAAAGGAAATTTTTGTTATTGATGTTGTAGTTCATTTGCGTTGCTCTAGAGTTGCACAATGGGCTATTGGCGACGGTCTGGGGAACATCCCTGAGGATGATCCGAAGACATGCCATCACAATTTTGATCCTCTGCGGAGGGGAGGGCACCCCCGCTTCGGTAGCCTGACGACATGCTCGCGATTGATTTTTTATGATTAATTACTATGCAAGGTCATACATTTTTCAGATTTTGACGCAATTCATAATTTTTGAATACGACTCAACCAAAATTCAAATACCTATACGATCACCTATAGAGTGCAAAGAGGGGAGAAGAGATAGCTTACTTTTCTTCAAAACTTACAGGTTCTTAAGGATTGTCAGCGTAGAAATTTTGCATCACCAAGCAATGAATAATGCACCAAGAAATTGAAAGACCTCAATGGATGATTAATTTATGCCATTAAAGGTTGTCGGTGGTCAATGGTCCATGCGAATTTTGTTCTAAAATAACAGGAAGATAGCCTATCATGCATAATGCAGTTACGTAAGTGATGAGCAAAAAATAGCGGTTTGACCTTTCAATCCTATTCCATCATATTTAACCTCAAAGCTACTCGTAAAATAATTGTTAAAATTTATAGTTAACTTTTCGTGAAGTTTTTAGAAATCCTTAAGTTAAATTTATTTAGTTTTAAAGCATAATTGTTTAAATTTTTACAGTCAGATCCTTGAAAGTGTTGCATTAGTTTTTGATAAATATGTGTAATTTAAGCTTTCAACTTCCCTAGAAATAATTTTGTTTTAGATTTTAGTAAAAGTAGAACTCAAATTCTCACACAACAAAAAAAGGTATCAAAAACACATAAATCGAGGAATCAAGATTGGGATATCTAGATTCCATCTCCTCAGACCTTTGCCACGCTTGAACCTGCTTTGCAAGAACAAAAACTCCCACTTCCAACAGTAAAACCGCATTAATAAAAGCATCACTTACCGCTGTATATGTTGTGTTGCTGCTGGGGATGTGATCATACTCCATACTGAGAATACTTTTCAAAACTGACACTTCTGATTAATTAATTTCCTACATATGCTATTTTCTGTAACACCATAATTATCTGTTTAATATTTTTGAATATAATGTTATACATTATTATGTGCACTATAATGTGTGCCAGTTTCATTAAATTCTATGCAGAAATTTTTGAGTTATGGTCATCTTTGTGATATTTTCTTAATTTATGTTAACTTGTGCATAAGTAAATGGTAATTACTAACTAAATATGCTACTACGTTTTACGTTTCGGGCGTATTCTTAGCAGAAAGTTATTAAAGGTTAAATTATAGCTTTTTTCACAGTTGGGGTTATTTTGATGTGAGTATCTGTCTGCAACGTATGCGTAAAACCGTTAGAACTAGGTTTATTTCTTTCAGACATTATTAACTGGAGCAGAATTTGTGTAAAACATGCAATAAAATTTTATGACTTTAAACTAGACAATAACACGAACTCTCTTAATATTAAAGAAGTAAAAGTTACTCTTATTTTTTTTTTACAAAAAAGTTACCGCCATTTTAAATTATTAGCATAGCAAGTACATGTTTAGAATGGAGTAAGAGAGAGTGTGTATTTAATTGGTAAAGCCGTTTCTTGCTAAATTACTTATAAATCTTTTTCTTTTCGAAGATCATAAAGAATTGTTTTCTATTTGAAAGCGTAGGTTGGGAATAATACATTTATTTCCTTTTTGTCTTTTTCTCCGACCAAAACGTGGTGTAGGGTTAAGTGCTTAACCATTGCACGAATATTGATTATTGTCGTTTTTTTTTCGTTTTTTTTTCTCTATCTATCACCATTATTTATACGTTGATGTGCTATTTGCGTGCCATACTGAAACTGAAACTTTTCTTTTAAGGATGCTGCTGCTTTGCGGACAATGCTGACCCACTACCTGGACAGATTTTCCCAGCTAGCTGGAAGTCTAATAAACTGTGGTCCAGTGCTGAATTGGTTAGAGGTAAATATTTTATGTGCGTTATAAATATATATATATATATATTATTTTCGAACATATTCTATTCATAAAGGTCATAATTTTTCTAATAATGTATAATTTGTAACTTTTTATTTTATAAAAATGATCGAAATTTCTATAACCCGAAATTTTTTTTTACATAATGAAGCTTGTTTTTGGAGTTAATTTTAGGATTTAAATTGTCATATGCATTATTTAGTTAAAATATTTAAATGTGCCCTTTGAACCATGAAGATTGCAACTTACTCTTTATGGTTCAAAGGACGCATTTAAAATATTCTGATTAAATAATGCCGACGACAATTTAAGTTCTGAAACCAATTTTAATGTTATACTTTATCTGTATGAAATTGCTTTTTTATTTATTTATTTGCTTATTTTTTTGACGGATTCAAATTTTTGAGCTTTTAAGTAAGAGGGCTGAAATCTGTAAAATATGGAGGCAATAGTTTTACAAAAAAACGGATAAATCTTTCAGTCCAGCTCTTAAAGTTATTTTTACATTTTCCTTTTTCGACTTAAGATCTCGGATACTAATTGCGCTAAAAAAATTTTTTTGTATTGTTTAAATCCCATTTATAATACATAACTTATCCAAAAAAAAAATAATAACCAGCCAACAAACAGATTTTAATGTTTTTTTTTATTAAAAAATGAAATGTAAAATATGAAACAAATTTGCGTCTGAGCACATTTTAAATGACGAAATCAAAAATGAATTTCTGAGAAATGAATATTTAAGAGCAAACGTGTTTGTAGAGAAATTATTGAACCGATTCTGTTCAAAGTTTTATAAATGTCATTTCAAATTGCATTGTTACGTTCTTGTTCATAAAAAAAAAATTATACCTAACAAGATTTCCATCATTGTTGAATAATCTATTGAAATTAATAAGGAAAAATTAAAAATTACTTGCATTAAATCATATGCGGGTAAATAATATTTATTAATGGGCGAAAAGCGCTTGATTCGTTTATGAAGATACCAAGTCGAAACACCCCCCCCCCTAAAAAATTGACTCTGATTCACATTTTTGCCCTTTTTCTTGACTTCCTTTGATATTTTAGAGACACTGTGGTTACATACATTTTTATGGTCAAAATTGCAAAACTGTTTTTTTTTTAAAGGTTTTTTTTATTTAAAGAAACTACTTTTTGTGTTTGATTTCGTTTATTAAATTATAATTTGTTCCTATTAGTTATGTTTCTGAACTGGAATGTATTTCCTTAAAAATGAGTGCATGGCATTCTCGCAATTAAAACAAAAAGTTATTAAGCACGTTTCTAAGTGCTTTTTTTTTAAGACTGGGAGGCTCCGACTTCTGCTCCCTCTGCTTGTCAACCCTTGTAATTGCTTTCCTTTCATCATTGTTTTTCGCCTCTTAAACGTAAATATTATTCACAAAAACAAAGAATATTTTATTAAGGAAAAAAACTTAACCTAAAAAATATTGATTGTGTTATTCAATAAGAAGAAATAAAGGAAAAATTTTACTTTATGACGAAACTTAAAACAATTCAAATAGATAACGGTTCTTATCGCCCTTTATTAAGTTTTTTTTTCTTCAAAAATTTTGTTTTTAATGTTAAGATTTATATTTGGCAATATGTAATCTCTCTCTCTCTCTCTTTCTGATTGACACCTACTCTAAATCGAGCTTGAAAAATAAAGAAGTAAGGACCTCGCGAGGAAAAAGTTAATTTTCTACAACAATGGATGAATAGTAAAGTAAAAAAGCTGGAAAAAAAAGAAGAAAATATCGTTAATAAGCGCTTAAAATTGCAATAACTATATATAAAAAATTGGAATTTCGATACAACGTTTGCGTTAAGTACACAAATAAAAAAGGTTCTTTTATCATGTCAATAATTTTTACTCCGTAGTGTCATTTCAACGGGCTACAGATCAACCAGACGTGGTATTTTTTCTCTACAAGTTTAAAAGCTAATAATTCTCGAATTAATCTTCGAATTTAATTTGTTTTTATTTCTTCGCACTTCCTGTACTTTTTCTACATACCTTCGTAATTTTAAGTTTCTAAGTATTACAGATTTTGTTCAGCGAAGGAAAATGTAATGTAAAATCAGAAAGTGATTTAAAAAAAATTCGAAAAAAAAAAANTACATTTTTAATATATTAATATTTATTTGTAATATTCACAGTTCATCATTAAGTAGTGATTTTATAAAGTTTCTGCCTGATTCTAATTTTCAACAGTCATCTTCATTTTATTTATTGCACTAAAAAAAAAAAGTACACGTATTAATAATTTACGAAACTTAAGTTTATGAAAGTTATAGAATAAGGCTAACCAGCGTGAATTGAGTACAAACAATGCCACATTATCTCTCGTTTTACGTTGTTTAGCTATATTCATATATTGCAATAAGTTAATCATTTCTTTGGACAAATGTTATTGAATTTTCATGACGAATTGAATGAATTTATTGTATGAATATTCACAAGAAACTGAAACGGTAAGATTTACTTATCAAAAAACTTCATTTGCCTTGAAAATATGCAGTTGGAAATAAAAGTTGGTATGTTTCAAGTGCCCAAAAATAAGTGCCCATTTTCAAGACATGCAGACATGCCAGTCGTAAATAAATGTGATAAATTATTTTTCATTCTCCGTGGCATATCTTGGGGGCATCTCTTGAGAACAAACGCCTATTTTTTAGCCTTTGAAATATGTCGATTTTTATTTTTTTATCTTTGATATATATATATAAAGTTCAAAATGTAGAGAAAACATGGAAAAAATTACAGAACAATGAAAAAAGGGAGGAAAAGAAAAATAATAATACTAAAACAAATACTAAAAATCTAGGGAAACAAATACTAAAAATCAGGAAAATAAAAATCTTTTATTTTCCGGATTTTTATTTTTTTCCTTTTTTTCCGGAATTTTTACCCTTCCAAATTATTCAAATTACATTGTTACATTTTTGTTCATAAAAAAATTATACCTTACAAGATTTCCATCATTATTAAATAATCTATTTAAATTTATAAGGAATAATTAAAAATTATTTGTATTAAATCATATCCGGGTAAATAATATTTATTAAAGGGCGAAAAGCGCTTGATTCGTTTATGAAGACGCCCCCCCCTAAAAAATTGACTCTGATTCACAGTTTTTTTTTTCTTCTTTTGATATTTTAAGAGACACGGTAGTTCCACATATTTTTATGTTCAAAAATCCGAAACTGTTATTAAAAAAAGGGTTTTTTTATTTAAAGAAACTACTTTTTGTGTTTGATTTCGTTTATTAAATTATAATTTGTTCCTATTAGTTATGTTTCTGAACTGGAATGTATTTCCTTAAAAATGAGTGCATGGCATTCTCGCAATTAAAACAAAAAGTTATTAAGCACATTTCTAAGTGCTTTTTTTTTAAGACTGGGAGGCTCCGACTTCTGTTCTCTTTGCTTGTCAACCCTTGTAATTGCTTCCCATTCATCATTGTTTTTCGTCTCTTAAACGTAAATATTTTTCACAAAAACAATGAATATTTTATTAAAAAAAAACTTAACCTAAAAAATATTGATTGTATTATTCAATAAGAATAAATGAAGGAAAAATTTTATTTCGTGACGAAACTTTAAACAATTCAAATAGATAACGGTTCTTATCGCCCTTTATTAAGTTTTTTTTTTTTTTTTTTTTTTTTTTTTTTTTTTTTTTTTAAATTTTGTTTTGAATGTTAAGATTTATATTTTGCAACATGTAATCTTTCTCTCTTTCTTTCTGATTGACACCTACTCGAAATCGAACTTAAAATAAAGAGGTATGGACCTCGTGAGGAAAAAATTAATTTTCTACTATAATGGATGAAAAGTCAATGTTTAAAGCAAAAAAAAAGCTTTTAAGAAAAAACGTGAAAACGCCTTTAAAATTGCAATAACTTTATAAAAAATTGGAATTTCGATACAAAGTTTGCGTTAAGCACACAAATAAAAAAGGTTCTTTTATCATGTCAATAATTTTTACTCCATAGTGTCATTTCAACGGGCAGCAGATCAACCAAACGTGGTATTTTTTTTCTCTACAAGTTTAAAAGCTAATACTTCTCGAATTAATCTTTGAATTTGGTTTGTTTATATTTCTTCGCACTCCCTGTTCTTTTTTTCTATATACCTTCATAATTTTAAATTTCTACGTATTACAGATTTTGTTCAGCAAAGGAAAATGCAATTTAAAATTAAAAAGTGATAAAAAGCACTTAAAATTGCAATACATTAAAAAAAAATTCTGTGTTAAGTTCATGAACAAAAATGGCCCTTCCAACATACCAAATTTTATTTATGAAGTTGCTCTCATGTGGGCTGTAAAGCCATTGTATGGTGTTTTTTTCCTGCAAAAGTTAAAGAATTATTAATTTTTGAAGTAATTATCAAATGTTAATTTTTTTATTCCATTGTACTAGCTATAAATTTTTCTACACACTTTCGTAATTTAAATTTTTTAAGTTATAGTTTTTAAGCAGCAAAGTAAAATATAACTTTAAGTTGAATACCCAAAACAGCGTCGGCGTCTCTCACTATTTCTTATTAAAGGGAGATTAATAATTATAAAAAGAAAGAGTTTCTGTATAAGGAAATGTAATAATAATATTAGAGTTGTTTGAAGCAAAGAAACATAGTTTAATAAGAATATAAAATAACAGCAATAAAAAAATTATTCCTTACTTTTATTCTTTTATTTCGTCAAATATTAAATGTGTAAAAGTGAAAAACATTTTAATAAAATGATAGTAATAACAATATGTATAATGCAAAAATCACGCTAAATAACTTTTTCTAACGCGGAAGAAATAGTAGACGCAATCTAAAAAATATAGTCTCAATAATTTAGTCATGATTGCGGTTGCAAATTGTTCCACTTAACGTTAATTTAACTTGTTGCTGATTTCGCCATATTCCTAGTAGTTTTTAAGCAAATCGAAAGATTTGTGAACTCAGTAATAAAATCCATTTATCCAAATATTTAAAAATAATTTCTAATAATAATTTATGATTTTTTAATATTGTATTTAATATAGTTAAAATATTAAAATTTTTTACACCAATTTAAAACATGTATATTTAAATGGCAAAACACTAAATTTGAAACAATTGGTTCAATAGTTACTGAATAATAAAATTTAAAAAAGCGGTATCCTAAATTTTCATTTAGCAAGAACTAACTACTCAGCCGATTTCGGGCAAATGTTGTGTTTTACAATTTGAAATTATACAGTTAAATATGGTGTAAAATTTTTTATACCTTACAGTTCAAAATTTTTTGAAAATAATGCTAAAAAATAATATGGAATTGTTAAAAATGATTTTTACATGAGCTTATCCTTTGATAAATAAAATTTATAAATGTGGTCATAAATATTTCGATTTGCTTAAACAATTTCCGAGATAAGGTAAAATGTGTAAAAAGTTAAAATATTTCTAAGGGGCCAAAAATTTACAACCGCTCACTGCTTATATTGTGGCTACCTCTCATATTTTGATTGTTAAAACTAAAAATTGATTGGAAAAAAAGTTTATTGATTCGTTGATGAAAGCACATTTTTTTCCAGATTTTCGAACTTAATTGTTTTTTTGCCTGCATTTTATATGTGAAAATTATATCATTATAAAAAAATTATTCAGAGTGATATCTCTTTTTTTTTTCAATGAACTAAGTACTGCACAAAAATAAATAAGTCAATAAAACTGAAAGTATATTTCCCGAATAGTACTAGGTTCTAATAATCAAATTTTCGCAAAATAAGTGCCGTACTGAATAGTTCAAAAAAGTGACAGCAGATATGATGATTAATTAATGCATAGACTATATTCTAAATTACGAAATTAGATATTTAAACTTATTTTTTCTCAAACTGTTTTTTCCCGAGGGATTTAGATTTTTAAGCGTCAAAATATGGAAAGAGTTTAATCACTCTCTGGAAAATAGGGTCGTAATAAATTACTATGGAGAGCGGTCGAAAGTTTTGGCCCTTAATGTTTACTTCACATTTTGTATATGTTGTTATATATATCGTAAAGTTTTTCATCAAATCAAAAATTTTTATATACAATTAAACATTTTATTAATCCCATGATAATTCCTACTAGAGAATATTTTTAAAACTTATTTATTCATTTTATACTATAATAATTGAAAAACATTTGAATAATAGGGGGATCAAATTTTTACATTGTTTGATTTCGTAACTAAAAATATCACCTGCTCTAATTTATTATCATATGTGAGGTCATCACTTTGAAACATTCGTATTAGTTCCTGAAAATCCAATGATAAAGACAAAATTTATTTGGAGTGAAATCTTTTATTTATTTTTGGTGTGTTATTGTGTAGAAAATACCTTCCTATAGTGGTACTTCTTTTAACAGTGCACTAAATCAACTGTAGGTGGCGCATTTTATTTTACATCTTGGAGATCAGACTAGTTTAATCGTAACTGTAATTTATGTTGCTAAGCAACAGAAAACGCGCTGCTGATTTAAACTTGTAATGTGTTTATATTATGCTTTGCGTTGGATGAAGTTAATATTATTTTATTGGTCTGAGCTCGTTGTGCACGTTTCGTGCATAGCGTAGGCTCATTTTTTTTAAACTGAGAAATAAGCTAATTATTTGGTTTTCCAAAACTTATACTTGTCAAAAATTGTGTGGATGTATTTGTAGCATTTGAGACTTGTAAAACGCAAGCGGAATTTTACAAGTTTGTAGATTAAGTTCGTAACTCTTGTCATATCCTGGTTTTATTTTATACTTAAATGCCTCAATTCCTTTTATGGCCTAATTAATTCCCATAAATCTTGTTTATTTTTATTTAAATGTTTATCCCATTATTTTATGTCTATCCCATGTAAAAAAAAAAGAAGAGTTATAACACAACTCTAAACTAATTGTTTTAACCTCATTTTCTTGTTACAGTGCATAAAAGGAGAAAATTTTAGGTATTTAAAATAAAATATCAATTACTTTGTTAAATAAGTAGAAAGTAACATGTAATTAAGTTGTTTAATGGATGTATCTTTTACAATGTAAATTTTATAACAATCTATCAGATACTATACTTCTTAAATTTAAATCTTATTTAATAGATCTTAGAATACTTGCTGGATTGTTACATCCAATAAAATAAGAGTCTTTAACAAGAAGACTTTAATTAAAAGCAATTTTAAGTTTACTTTTTTTCTGTTACAGTTGGACAATCGTGGCAATAGACTGATTGTGACAGATGAGGCTGCAATAAATACCCCAGCAATAGCAGCTGCCTATGTTGTCAAGCGGTATGCTTCTCAGGCTACTGATGAAATCTCTCTTGAAGTTAGTATTTCAATATATTACTTTATTGATAATAGTTTTAAAGGAAAACACTATTCTGAAATTTTCAGGAAATATTTTTCCTTCGATATTTCAACAGCATGCAAATACATAGTTTTTGTAAAAATAGTCATCTAATGTGCTAAAAGTTTATAGTTAAAAATCATATGAATGAGAAAGATACAACATTGGTAAAGCAAAAATAGATGAATTTTGCTTTTAGAAAGTAAAAGCTTAGTGTTGCAAAGTTTTTAATTTAGAAATCTCATTTTGAATAAAAAAATATAATTTTTCTTAGGAAACTATGCAATTTGAATCTTATTTAACTAAGCATCATGTGATTGAATTTGTCAACCCTTTAAATTGTGGAAAGGTATTAAATGGCAGTTTTTAGGTGGAAAAAGATACAAATAGAGGCAGATATTTGAGAAGTAACTGTTTATGCAAAAAATGAAGGAATTTGACTGTTATTATGCAATCAGCTAAAATAAATGTTAGTGATTTATAGATTTGGCTGACTAAAAACTTAAGCGATAAAAATAAATTAAACGCATAGTCTTTATTCTTCTCTCATCTACATATCAATTTTTAAAACTAATTCACTACAACGTAACTTACAAACTTCATTCTCTTTAATCATATATAAAAATAAATGCTTTCGCAAACTTTTCCCTTAAAAAATGTTTTTGATTCATGCAGACATTGTTAGCTTTTCTAGTGTGAACTAAATAGCACTTAGTGCTGAATATGTAAGTTATTTTAGAGAAGATTTTTCTGTGAAAATTCATGCAAACTCTGCTCTTTAATCTGCAAAACTAATAGATTTAAAGGATGCTTATGCAAATACAATTTAATGTACTCCTTTGCAAATTTCCTATTGATTATTCAAGTTGAAAATAATTTTTCAATGATTTATCTAAAAAATTAATAGAATGCATTCAAAGTAGCATTTATTTGCATAAGGGATTTCTTTTTAAAACTCATTTATAGTTTTGATTAAAGAAATAATAAAATCAGACTTTAAAAGAGAAAATGCCCTGAAAGTCTGGTTTTCTTATTTAATTATTCAAAAACTGTGAACATAATGAAAATCCTAATTACATTGTAAAACTATGTTAGTTTGTATGCGTTTAAAGATGTAATCATATTGCTTGAAAAATAGAATCATAATGACTGAAGTGTGTATTAGTGTTATGTAAAATGGTCATTTAATGTTTGTGTAGTTTATTTTATCCATATTTTTGTTAATGTCAAAAGCTCATTTGATGAGTTCTGACTTACTCTTTTAGGACAATATACAAATGTACATGTTATCAAGTTATTATATATAAAAAATGTTAAATTGCATTTGTATTATCCGTTAATGTTAGAATACATCTTTTGTTGATGTAATTTTTAATGAATGCTTTGAAATTCACTTTTATTTTACTATCATCTTTTTTTATTTTGTTTTTATGTCACTTTTTACTAGGCAAAAAAATATTTCTAAGCCATAATAGTTCTAAAAGGTTTTGTCCTTTTGTCCAGAATAAACCTATTTCTTCCATTACACAAAAAGAAAGTGGAAGAAACAAAAAGTAATGGAAGACACTGGATACAATGGAAGAGATTAGAAATAAACAAATCAAATACAGTTGTTTAATGATGTTCTTAAATGTATAGTTCAAATTTGAAACAAACAAAATTTAGTATAATCTAAGAAAGTAAAATTTTTCTTTTAAAATTTTTAAAAATTAATTAAATTTCATATTTATTTTAGTATTATACGGAATTTTAAACTCTTTGTAACATATTATAACAATTTATTTTGAATCTGAATTTATGATAATCCTTATTATTCTTAATAATTGTGTACATTTGTATCTATTTAATATATGTGTATATTTTACTGAATATTCTGTTTAAGGATCATATACCTTAAAAATGAAAAAATATTACTTAATAAAATATTGGTTAAAAAGTGTTAATTAAATTTTGCTTTTTTAACTGGTTAAATTTTTGGAATGCCAATGTTCGTTATGGAAATTTTAGATAGCAATTTTGTTATGTCTTCCAAAATATAAAGGAAAACCTGAGTGTAACATTTATGTTTTAAAACTTACAAGTTTTGTTTAAAATAATTACTCTATATATTTGAAAATGCATTTTAAAATTTTCGTGAATATTTTTATAATTTTCAGTTCAAGCAATAAAAAAGTTTTTAAAACTGCTTACCACTTAATCACTTTTTTTTAAAAAGTTTCATGTAATTAATCATTGATTTGCTAATTAAATTCAGTAATAAATGAACTAAAATTTTAAAAAATCTTAGGTTTAATTAATAAATTTTAAATATATCTTATAATTTTATGATTAGGTATGTAAAAAGGAAATCTTTATTAAAAATAGCGATTGATAAATACATTTAGCATACTGTTCAACAGCCTTTGATTATAAAAATTAGTATGCCATTTGAAATTGTGAATACTATATCTGACATGCAATATAATGCAATACATAATTTTGTTATAAAATTTTAAAAATTCTTTTTGTAATTATGAAGTAAAGTTCTGCTAAATTCTTTTTTGTAAAACATTGAGAAATCTTATTGGTTTTAGTTTCTTAAAATACTCATTAAATTAATTTTTCTTTCCAATTTTTGTTTATTTTTATTTATTAAAATATGATTTATTAAATGGCTTGGAAATTAATACTATTATTTAAACGGGAATGTAATTAAAATTGCTTAATTTTAATTTAATACTTTATATTTCTTTTTTGCGAGAGTTTCTTTCACCTGAATTGGAAGAAACCTTTTTCTTAATGGGCAAATTTTTTTCTCTCTAGATGAAACTTGCCACATCTGGTTTTAAATTTGTTAGTTATTTTGTTAAATTAAAGTAATGTTGTTTGCCTTATATATAGGTAAAGAATCCATATTTTGTAAAAGGAAGAAATCTATGTTATCTTGTAAATTATTTGACATAAATTAATCGACATTAATTTATTACTATGCTGAGGACAAATGTACCATAGGTTAAGTTTTTTTGCTACCTTAAGCATTATTTTAATCATACTGCTTCACAAAGTTTAAGAGACTATCTTGGGGGCTACTTATTTGATTTCTAATTATTTCTTTGGTTAAAATCTTAATAAACAACTAGTTAATTTTAACTATTATTTATAATATTATTTTAATTATTATTTTAATTTAAATTTGTAACAATTATTTATGTGAAAATTGTTTTAAATGTTTTATTTTACTATTAAAATCTTAATTTTTAGGTAGGGGATATTATTTCTGTGATAGATATGCCACCTCCTGAAGAATCTTCTTGGTGGAGGGGGAAAAAGGGCTTTCAGGTGAGAAAAATTATAATTTGCTCATAGCTGTAAAAATGTCACTCACTTAGTTACATTTTCTGACATTGATAAACAAATTTTAAAAAGTTGTGGATATCTATTGATAACTTGTACTAAAATGTAGCATTTCATAAATTTGGTCAATATTTTTAAGGTATCATAAAATTTACTTCCTGTAAAACTTTTGTTAATTGATACATTGCATATAATAATACTGTTAAGCATATTGTATATTCAAATTACTTCATGCCATTTAACAAAACTGGACTTTAATGCAGCTCTATAATTTTTCTGAATTCCAAAAATTGCACTTATTGTGTTGTGATCATGTTTTATCAACATTTAAAAAATATATATATTTTACTGAAATGAAATATTTCATAATTTTGGTCAATATTTTTAACTTAATACAAATTAACCTCCTGCAAGACTATTGTTAATTGATACCCATTCATACATCCATTTATTCATTCATTGATCGTAATTTTGACCTGAACCAGAGAACGATCGATCTCCAATTCAGTACCCCCAAAGATTTAATTTGTTATGGGAGCATGGAGGACTTTGTGACCCCACAGGTTTAAATTACACCAGTCATCATTTACTACACTGGGAGTCTTCGAACAGCTGGATTCGAACTCTCAACTTCGTGAGTCCAGCTCCCTGCTATCACGGCCCAACTGAAGAAGTGCCTGTCCCAATTTTTTTGTTGAATAGGCGTTTTACTATAATAAAAATAATCAGTAGTCTTGAAATATTAGCTTAAAATTTTTGCATTGATATGATTGTATGGCTATTATAAATTTAATTATTTTCCTCAAAAATTATATTTTGTTATTTATTAACATTTCAACTTTACTAATATTTAGGTTGGATTTTTTCCTTGTGAATGCGTTGAAATAATTGGTGATAAGTTACCCCAGTCAATTAAGATTCCAAAGGCGCCTTCTAAACCAGGTATTTTAAAAAATAATTGAATACGATTAAATATGTATTGCTTACTGTTGATATATTGTTTATTGATTTAATGTTTACTATTCTAAATTTTTTACTGCTGATAATATGTTGAAATATTGTTGTAAAGAGTTTTAAGAATGTTTGGAAAAATAATAATTTAATTAATTCCTGCTTTAAAGTTAATAATTTGTGTTCATAATAATTCAAATTATTTACTTGAAATTAGAATTTCATTCAATACAAATTTTTTATTTTATTTATTTGTTTCTGTATATTAATGTATTACTTACCTTTACATAATGGTATATTGTTGATACATTGTTTATTCTTGATATAATGTGCACTGTTCTATATTTTTTACTGTTGATAATAAGTTTAATTATTGATGTAGGAAGTTTTAAGAATGTTTGGAAAAATAATCATTTGAATAGTTCCAACTTTAAATTTAATAAAATGAGTTCGAAAAATTAAATTATTTCTTGAACTTATAATTTTATTCAATACAAATTTTTATTTTATTTATTTGTTTCTGTATATTATTGTATTACTTATTACCTTTACATAATTGAATTTCCAGCAATTATATATTTTTTCAAACAAAATTCATCATAAATTGTTGCATGGTGATTTGAATATGAAACCCAATAACTGAATGCAGTTTTATGATTAAATTTCCAAAATACTTTGTGGATAATTTTAATTAAAATGCTAAAACCTTGTTTACTTGTCTGAATAACTTTAAACCTTGAGATATTATTGCAACCTATATGAAAAGTTATACTTATTCAATAAGTGATTCTTTTGAAATTAAAATGAATTTTTCATTCAAACATTACTCTCAGAACATCTAATAAGTTATTATTAATGGCATTTTTGTTCAGTGCATTTTGTTAGTGTAATTTTTTTTCAAAAATGTAGCTAAATTTAAGAATGACAATATTTATAAAAAAAATTGACTGGCATTTTTGAATTTCACTAATACCCTAATACAAAAAAAGAAAGAAAATTGAAAATTATGCTGCAATAAGTAATAACTATGTTTACACAAGAGGAAAGATATTGGATAATTATTAGTTTTTCTTATTATCATCTTTTTCTTATTTCTTATATTTATGAAAGATTTTTTTTCTTTTATTTGCGTTTTAAAGATCTTTTCTCCTTGAAAACTTTAAATAGTTAAGATCCTTATTAGGTCAAAAAAATAACCCATTTTTTTTATTTCTTCCACATCAACAGATATCAACGTTTGATATATCTGTATCTTTTTGGAGCATTTAACTTTGAAGTTTTCACCATTTTCATCCCTCACTCTTCTTATGTATTATTATAAATCATAACTGCATAATAATTTTCTTTAAAAACTGATACTCCACACATTTTTGAATTTCTTTTTTTTTCTATGAGCTTTAAGTTTTTTTTTTCTTTTTTACAGTCACTAAGAAATTTGCTTTATTCTAAATTCGAGCATCCAATTCTATTTATTGAGTTATTGAATAAACTGAAGATATGAATTTAAAAAAGTTCATTTCCAAAATTTGTGTACTGAGTGCAAAATCTTAAACTAATTTAAAATTGCTTCCAAGCTGAACACCATTGTGATATTTTTTTGTGTAGTTTTGCTGTATGAAACTCTTTTTATATGTATATTAAAATTTATTATACTATTATTAAAAGACTATTGTATGTATTATTAAAAGCCTATTAATATTAATACATTAAGTAAGATTTTTTTGAAGCATTTCTTAAAATATAGTAGACATTTCAAAGTTCATTTTCAAAACAAAAAAAAAATAAATTTGAGAATCAAGTGTGTTGTATGAATCAAGTGTTTTATAACAAAATCTTGTAAAATATTCTTAATTATTCCATATTTATTAGAATTATAATAATAAAAGGTTCATATTAGACAGAAAAACTGGCGACTTTCAGACAATTTTTCAAATGCCATTTGTTATATTTAGTAGTCTGTGGCCAGAGGCGACTCTTAATTTTGCTTTATACTGTTCATTATTGATGAAATTATACTGGAAACTGTCAAATTTTTCTGTTCTAAATAAAATAATTCTGATATTAAAACTAGTTTATTTTAATATTCTTGCATGAAATTATTGTTATATTTGTGATAAAGTTTGTTTTTATTGCACTTAAGTAGAGCAAATTATACTTAGGTTTTAGTTTGCCTTTTTCTAAGAGTAGTCTGGTATATGTATGATGTTCCAAAAAAATATTTTGATATTGTCCCAATTTTTTAAAAAAAAATGTTGTCCTGATTTTTTCTTTGGGTCACTACTAAGTCTGTATGTCACAGGCAACTGATTGCCAGGGTGCTTAATGAATTATAGTTGGCGCCTATTGTTTTAAAATTTATTTTAAAAACAAAAGGTTGGGTGCTTTGTTACTTTTTATTTTAAAACATGCTAACTTCTAACGGTTGGTCTTATCTCTAAGAAAATTTGGATTTTTATGAACCCCTATATAAATATTTGAGAAGAGATCCAAGCTTTTTTTAATTAGAATATATGTTATTTTAAAATTATAATTAAAATTCTTGCTAATAATGTTTTATTTATTGCTTAAAGTAGCAATAACTGTTCTTTGTACAGGATAAGAAATAATAATCACAAACCCTATTCTAGTATTAGACTTTCTTATAGTGACAGATTTCATAGAACTGATTTAGTGTTGCTAAGCAACAGAGAAGTGCAACAGGAATAATTATATTACATATAAATGAATCAGTAACAAATAACACTGTGGAACCATGCATGAAGGTGAAAGACATTTAAAAAGATAATATCATTTTCTTGAATTTTTTTAAAATTGAATTTAATAATGTAAAGTTTTCATAAGGTGACTGACTTTACATTATTGAATAAACATTATTGAATGACTTTACATCATAGAATATTACAAGAAAATAATGTTTTTTAGATTCAACAGTTTAAAGATTATGTAGATTACTAATTTAAAAAACTTACTCCTAAGATTATTTATTTAGTACCGAGAATGAAAAAAAAATACCCTGCATAACTTTTAATCTAATGATAGGATTTTCACTTATTAAGACTCAACTTTACTGGTTCGAGGGGGTGACCTCAAATCTACGAAATTTGTTAGCACGTACGATATTTTGGGTTACAAAATCAGACACAGAAACATTATTTCTATGCGTAAAATCATCTTTCGAATAACCGAATTTTATTACTGTGAGCAAAAAGCTTTTCATTTCGCTTGAAAATTTCTCTAGATATGGTGAAATATGCAAAAATAAAAATTAACATTGCAGTGTCCAAACTTTCGATCACTCTTCTGACCAAATTATTGGGATCATATTTTTCAGATTAAGACTACTCTCTTTATTTTAGGGGTCTGGAATTGAAATGTTTCTATAAATATTTATGTTTATTCACAAAAAGTATGTTTTTGTGTCTGATCTTGTAACTTAAATATCATCAGCACTAATTGATTAGCATATTTGATATTTCTCTGTAAACCATAAAGATTGAGTCCCAGTACATGAAAACCCATTCATTAGACTAGAATTTAATTAGGGTGTTTCTTTTTTTTTACTTACTGAAAAAACTATCCTTTTTTTTCTATGTAAAAATAACTTATTACAGTAAATTTATTTAAAGTAATTTTCAGAGAAACATTTTTAGTAGTGAATGCAATATGAATAGTTTTATTTAACTATCTTTATCTGCTGTTAAATTATTTTAATTGTTCATTATCCCTTTTAGTATTAAGGAAGCATGGTAAGCTGATCGCTTTCTTCCGATCTTTCCTACTAACTAGACCATCAAGGCGAAAATTGAAACAAAGTGGTATACTGAAAGAAAGAGTTTTTGGCTGTGATTTGGGAGAACATCTTATGAATACTGGTCGAGACAGTAAGTATAAGCTTCCACTATTCTAATCAGTCAAATTGGCGTAGCATCAATTTTTATTCATTATCTTTATTGCTTCGCATATATGGCTTGTATTTATCAACTTAATAGCAGAGCTCCAGTCAGGGAAAGCCTGCAATTGTCAGGGAATTTTATTTTAAGCAGGGAATAGTCAGGGAAAGTTGCAATTTTTTTTACAAAAGACCTGGAAAATTCCTATATCACACCTGGAAAATAACCAGTTTTAGAATTGTCAGTAACAGTTATCAGTTATTGAGATTTGAGTTTAATTCTAGCATCTATTGCAATTGTTTTATAAAATTCCACTTTTTAGTGAAACTTTTCCATGTTTTCATTCTCATTCTGCTATATGGGTTTGCTCTAATATTTAACATTACAGTTAAAAAAAAATCAGAATTTTCTCATAAAAAAATTGCATGGTATAAATAAAATAGGGTATGGATTAATTTTCAGTGAAATTCACCTGATATACCTGGAAAAGTCAGGGAATTTTTTCTTGTTCTGAAACTGAGTGATAGTCCTGTAATATCTTAAGACATTTTTAGAAGTTTTGTTTTAATATATTTTTTATCTTCAAGTTCAATGTTAAAATCACCAACTTTTTTTAAAGCTTCCATATTATATCATGTATGGAAGTATATAGTATCCATTTCAATTGCATTGAATGTGTATGTTTTTCTTATTATCAATATATGTTTATGTCTAATTGCAGTACCTCTTGTTTTGAAATGTTGTACTGAGTTTATCGAACAACATGGCATTGTTGATGGAATTTATCGGCTGTCTGGTGTAACGTCTAATATTCAGAAGTTAAGGTATAAATTTTTATTTTCTGATTTTTTTAAAATTTTTTTTAATGTTTTACGTTTGTAGTTACATTGACCTTTTCTGACATAAAATTGAAAAATGTATTGTCACTAAATAATTTTGCTATTATTTCGATAAAAATTGCTAACAAAGAAAAAAATATATTTATTGAAAGTATCCTTATACCCATAAATGTTATTTTCATATTATTTTGAATAAATGCTTTAGTTTTAAGATTTTTTTTAATGTAATTGATAATTCTTTTTCTGTGGAAAAAAAACATACTTATTGGTTTAGATGTATTCCTTAAGGATAAAAGAGAGATATACTGGCATATCTCTGTATATCGGAAAAGTTGTGATTATTAATTGGTATATACCTTAAAATTTTGAGTTTATGGTTGTTGTATATTGTAAAGTTCAAGAGGGCATAATTATATCAAAAAACTGAGTTTGTTAATATATTGTTTTTAAAATGAGAAATGGCAAAATTCTTCAAAGATTTACTTGCTGATTTAATGCTGAAGAATCAACTATATTTTCTTTACACTCTAATTTTTTACTATTATTGTGAAAAATATTTTTACCTGTAACATGTGATAATAAACAATTCTTCGAATTTTTTATATTTTTTTTTCATCATCTCATATTGTATGTTCAATTAAGACATAATAAGCATTTTTGGAAACTGAAAATTCCTTGACCTGTTTTAAAAGCTTCAATTTTTTGTAACATTGACTTTCCTAATTTTTATTGACACACATATATATCTATGATATTATTCTAAAGCAGAGGTCGCCAAAGTGGTCTATATAGACCCCAAGGGTCTATTTAACAAAAGCAGGGGTCGATCTGAGACAGGGGGGCGAATGGGGGTCGATCCGAATCTGAAGGGTCAATTGTGGGTCGAAAAAAGAAACAGTTCTCAATACGCAAATCACANGTATGTTCAATTAAGACATAATAAGCATTTTTGGAAACTGAAAATTCCTTGACCTGTTTTAAAAGCTTCAATTTTGTGTAACATTGACTTTCCTAATTTTTATTGACAGTCATATATATCTCTGATATTATTCTAAAGTAATAAATGAATTAAAAAAAAGTATAAATGAAAGCAAGAAGAGTTTTGAAGAAAAAAAATCTATTTTATAAGAAAGGGTGATATAAGCACTACTTATCTTAATAGTTTTACTTTTCTTTAAAATTTAGTTTAACATATCAGTAATGCATCTTAAAAATGAGGTATGTTAGTTTTAATTGCTTCAATGTTCTTTTGTTTGTTAAATTATATTCAATTGATCATACTAATATTTTAAGTAAAAATATTGATTGTTTTTATTATATGAATTGGTGATATCATCTATGTATATATGTTAATTGTGCTGAATGTTATGCAACTAGTTTTCTTTTTTAAAGTTTCTTACATTTAAAATACTCTTGATGTTATCGATTTTTACTAGTTTAATAATTGATTTTATCTTTCCGTCTTCTTAAACTAGCTTATATGCTTATCAATGTTCATATATAGTAGTAAAATACATATTATAATGTTATTTAAGTGTCAAAAACTTATACTTTATGTGACTGTTATTTCAATTTTGACTTTCTAGGTTTATTTACAACTCTCTTACCTGAATTTTAAGTTTGAAACAAGTGTCTTGAAAGTCGAAAGTCATCATTGACTTTTGTGTCAGAGATAAAATGTCATCACTTATTCTTACTTAATGTTCGACTTTAAGAATACTAAATTTTATATAAAATTTAGTTCTTTTTTAAATCTTGTTTTCCTTATTTATAAGTTGGTAGTTTTGCTTTTTACCAAATTGCCTAAATTTAAACTTAGTTATTTTCATGTTAGCCTAGTTCAGGTGCATTAGAGATATAACATGGTTTTGCAATTAAAAATTTGCATCAACTAATGTATAAGTACGACTAAACTTGGATAATTTGAATTCGAAGGGCCCAAAGAACAAATTTAAAATTTCCATTAGCTGAATTATATATACCCTCCAACAGAAAATATCAGTTATGCAAAAAATTTCTATTATCCAAAATAAAATTAAAATTATCTACAATTTTTAAACATTACTTTTGTACAGAATTCTGGGAAGGGAGCATGAAAATTAAATTACCTAGATTTTTGAATAAAATAAGTTCAAATTATCCATGTGTTATTGAAACAGTGATTAGCATTTTCTGTTTGACATTGTGATTTTGTATTTTGCTTAACTATTTTTTTCTTTTCCCATCTGTTTTATATTTTATAAAAAAAACTTTTTAATGTTATTAATGTATCGTATACATCATTGTCTTTTATTAAAACATCAAGACTTTATATAGTTTGAATTCTTTAACTTCACCATTTTCTTTATAATAATTCCTTTTGCTTCAGAGGCTGTTTTATATTAACAACATTTGACAGAGTTACTTTTATCATTTGAATTATTATTTTACTTTCATTTCGGTTTTAGAATCGCCTTTGATGAAGATAGAGTGCCAAATCTTGTTGATGAAGCAATCTTGCAAGATATTCACTGCGTGGCTTCACTATTAAAAATGTATTTTCGTGAATTGCCAAATCCATTGTTAACATTCCATTTGTATGATAAATTTGTGGTGAGATAGACTTTATTTGATTTTGTACATTTGAAATTGATTGTACACCAAACTAAATTTTTAAAAAAAAAATTATTTTTTTATCAGAGTGCTGTGCAGGCTGAAGAAGATTTAAGGCTTCTCAAGCTGCGTGATGTAGTCCAACAACTCCCACCCCCACATTATCGATCATTAGAATATTTGATGAGACACCTCAGTAAAGTTGCCGCACACGGATATCAGACGGGAATGACACCAAAGAATGTTGCCATTGTCTGGGCACCTAATCTGTTGAGGTAAAGTTGAATATTTTAATCAGAGAACATTCTTTTAGTTTCATACTTTTTTTCTTTAAGAAAAATTGAGCGAATTATTGAGTGTATTAAAAATCATACATATTTACTTTTAAATAGTTAAATACTAATAATCTTTTATAATTCTTAAACCAACATTAATGATAGCGATTAATAATGATATTGGTAATTCACCATGCTTAGCACCAAATTAGGCATTAAAACATATATGTAGGTAATTGTGTGAATTATATATTAAAAGGTTTGTAGTTTAAGTACCTATGTTATTGTTTAGTATATAACTTGCATTTCTTTAACAGTCAAGTTTTTGAAATTTGTTGTATATAATTTATTTTACACTTCTAGTTCCTAGGGCTACTTCAAGTTCAGTTTACAAGGATGGAGTTAAATTTGTACCTAAGCAAAAAAATTATTTCCTTGTAATACACATGAAGTATAAAGAAACTTTGTGTTTAAATATTAATTTTTAAAATTGTTTGGAGGTATTACTTATTAATTTATAATTTATTCAATATATTAGTATGTGTTATTCAGTGTATTAATCAGCAAATTCCATTGTATTAGAATGATAAACAATAAATCTTTTTCATTAATGACTATAATATTGATCAATGTAAAATTGATCTTACAACTAAACTTTCTGGTTACAATTTATCTTACAACTTATTTTTCCTGGTGCATTTTAAAATTTTTTTACACGCATGACTTTAACTGACTTTTACATTTGAGCATTTGTCACACATGATTACTGTTTTTCCTGCTAAAAACAAGTTTCCCCTTTGTTATTTAATGGAAAAGTTGCATATTGTAGAGAAGTTTCTTTACTAACTTGCCCAAATGCTTGGTTGATTAATATTAAACTATCAATGCTATTGCTAAGCTAGAAATTTTTAAATTAAAGTTTTATTGTCATTTAATCATTTTCGAACAATTTCTACTTCTGAAAGTAAAAAACGTTTTTAAAATAAGCTTGTTTGATTTTGGAATAAAATAAATCTATAAAATCAATTTGTTTTGATAAATAGCGAGTCATTCAGAAATTTCTAGTGAATTATTAATTGGTAGGTTTATTGTAACTTCTTATTTTGCTTAGGTCAAAATTTAAAATAAAATTTATTACTTATTCATTTATCTCAAATTTATTGTAGTGATTCAAAAATGAACCAACCTGTAGTAGATTTTAAACAATATAGTTTTCCTAAGTGTTTTATTTTTCAGATACATTAATATATTTTGTTTCTTATATATATATTTATATTTTGCTATCATGGAAATTTTTTTCTGTGGTGAGTATTATATAACTATATAATTTTTCATAATCGGTAGTTTGCAGTTGTAGATGATTTTCATATTAGGTTTTATTATCTTAATGAAAGTCAATTATGTTTTTATTAATCCATAACCTTTCTGCAGATCCAGAGACATAGAAAACGGCGGTGTTGGTGCTTTACATGTAGTTGGAGTTCAGGCCGTACTCACAGAGTACCTCATAAGATATACAGATATCATATTTAGTGAAAAAATGCCTATATTCCCTAGTCCTAAACTGATTGAAGGTAAAATATTTTTATTTAAAAATATTTATTTCAGATACATTTCTCTTATAACTTAGTAACTAATGTAATATCAAGTCTGAATATATAATTTCCTTAAGGTTACTAAATAAATCTCTGTTTTTAAAAAGTGTAATTTGTCATAAATCCAAATTAATGATTCAAAATATTTTATGAAAATGAAACACTCTAAGTATAGATAATTTCTCCAACTGAATTTGTCCGTCAACTTGATCTCCATCTGGAAGATCAAGGTCAGGGACAGAGCTGTCTGGAGAAATATTGTGTGGCAGGCTAAGGCCCACCCTGGGTTATACTGTCTATAAAGAAGAAGAAAAGACAGTTTAAATATCGGTATAATAGTTATCAATTAAATTTAATAAGTTTAAAAACAGATTAGCTAAAGTGAAAAATTGAGGCTTTGTTTCAAATGGTAAAGAAAATATGGCATTGATTTGTTTGCTATAAAGGAAGCGGAAATTTCTGTTGTGTCTGTTTCAGTCTGAATTTTATTTTGAGTTTTAATTCAGTCTGAATTTCTGATACATTTTTGACAAATGTAATAAGAAAAAAAGTACAATATTTTGATTATTGTAAATTGCCTAATTATTTAAGCATCCAACAACACACTTTAAATTGTATCTTTTTATTGAAATTTTCTGTTTTCATGTAGCTTTTTCACTGTATTAGAACTGCACAGTAATTCTTCAGTCATAAAAATATAAGATAAATTATTTTATATTTCTTTAAATGCTTGATATATTTCATGACATCATATGCAAAATCTTTTTATTACCCTGTAAAAAGTATAAAATTCTTTTGTAAGCAATAGTTATACTAATTTTGGATACTTTATATATTTCTTATGCATAGATTATGTCTAATTTAACCTTCAGCCTTTTTAACTTCAGTAACAGAAATGTTTAAGATTGATGTGTGTAAATCTGAGAGAAGGAACAATTAAGAAGAAAAACAATTTTTTTTTTTATAAAATGAGATTTTTTTTTGTAAAATAAGGTTTTAATTCGCATGAAATCTAAACATTTTGGCATATCTAAAGGTTTTATACATCTTATAAGGAGTATGAACCAAATGTTTTTATTTCTTAAGCTTTTAATAAAACATTATGACAAGCTCAATTTCACTAAAAGACTACATTAGAAAAATCTACATTAGTTCATTCTAAAAAAACTACATTAGTTTATCAAAATGAAAACAACATCTATCTCATAATTAAAGAAATTACTTAAGAATTATTTGAAATGAAGAGTAGAAAATCTGAAGTTCTTATTGATTGTTTCCATCTGTAATACTAATGGAATTTTACTCCTGCTTGCTTCGTTCTCCATTCTCTACTATTGCTATCCAATCATTTTTACTTATTGGCAATAAGAAGACTTACATCAAAATTAAAAATCATTCAGTTAAAAGGCATAAAAAACTTTAATTGTATCAACACAGATTTGGTTCTTCATTGTTTTGAATTCTATAGAGATAAAATTTAAACTTAATCATTTTATAACCTATTCACAAAATTGTTGAATTTTTAGTGCCAAAGATGTACTTAGCAACAGTCTGTTAAACCAATATAGCAATACTGTGTAAAAATTTAATTTCTAATATTACTTAAGATTTTTAAATCATTGTTTTATTTAGTACTTAATTGCTTATGTTGACGGGACAATGCTTCATGTAAAATTATGAAAGTATATATAATATATTTACTGTTTTTTAATTGTTAAATGGTAACTAAATATTTTTATCACCAAATGTTGTGCAATAAGCTATTATTGAATTAGTTTATAATTTAATAAAGGAGCACCACTTTTTGTTATAACCTTTAAATTTTGAAAAATATTCTTAATCAAGAATGTAATGTTAAGAAATAATATTCTTAAGAAGGAGTGATAAATAAATACTACTTGTAAATACTGATGAAGAGAAATAAATAACTTACAAACTAATCTCCTTTTACTTTTATTAATTTTATGCTAATTAAAGCCAAAGATACCTTAAATCTTTATTGTTTCTTAGTTATGTGACTGTTTTGTCCAGTGATAAAGCATGGAAATTGTGAGACAGCAATTATTTATTTATAATATATGGAGATATTTTCTCAAATAACTGGGAGCAAAAGGCAAATGTGCTTCGATAGTTGCTCATGCTTGATTTAGCTTTATTTTTTTCTGCTGTGTGATGTTGTTCAATATTTGTTTAGTTGAAACTCCAAAGAAGACAAGACCGAAATCTTTGGCTATTTCTACCCCCACCAAACTTTTATCTCTCGAAGAAGCACGATCAAGAGCCTTAACCTCAAATCTGCCCGGTGATCAACAAAAGTTCATTGATGTTGGAGGAGGGGAAGAAAATCTACCCATTAAATATCACACAATAATAGAACTTCCCGCAAGGTATTTATACAGTTTTTGTTCCGTGACATTTTTACTGTCACAACTGATTATAAAATTTTTTTAACTGTTTGTATATTAACTGTCTTTTTTATTAGAAAGTTAAAGTTCATGTCATTATGTCTTCAAGTTGTTATTTTGAAATATAATTCCTTGATAAAATTGTTTTAAAAACATTTTTACAAAATAAAATAGAGAAGAAAACATTTCTGTGGAAGATAGTTCAAAAATACAAATTTGTTTAATCTTGGCAGATTACATTAAATTTTTCTTTCAGGACTCATTTTAAGGTACGCTTAAAATTTTTGTTTAGTTTTAAAAGTATTATATTTCTGTATTTTAATATTTTGTAATTGCTTTGGGTGCCTTATTCAAGTGATAAATGCTGAAAACAAAATGATCATTTTTCTTCAATTGCTGTAATTTAAATTAATTTTATTATTTTGTAATGTTTTTTTAGTAATATTGTGAGCAATATTTTTGTTAACTTCTTGCTTTCGGCACTTCACATTATTAAGTCATTGTAATCCACTTATTGTACCAGCCTTAAGCGAAGGGTTAAAGCTGAGGATGAGACATGTTCTTTTGATACGTAAATATATACTAGTATTTTAGTTTAGTTTAAGTATGCAAGTGAAATCAGAAAAATGTTCTACAGTGTAACTGGTTTTAATTGTTCAACACTTGAACTGTCACACTATTTTTTTTTAAGTGAAAAAGAAAAACCAGCTCACCAATCAAAAACCCTGGTTTTATCGAGGTTTTGATGGAAACCAGAGTTTATTTTGTTGGGTTTTTTTTAGAAATATTTTATATTTTTATGCTTGAGTCCTAAATGAGATTTCAGATTTTTTTCTAACATAATATCCTTAATGAGTATTTGGTTAACTATTTATAACTTTTTTGTTGTAATATAAACATGTTTTGGGAGTTTTTAGATTGCTGTGCTATTATTTTTTATTGTTTAATGATAAGCAGGTTGTCAATGAAAAGATCCCCAAATTTTTTTTATTGCATTAACAAAGATTTAATTCCAGAGGCTGTTGAAATAAAATTTAAACTTATCATATTTTCAGTTACCATTTCATTTTAATATACAATTTTTTTTAAAAAAAAATTCTTATTCAAGTTTTGATTACTTTAAAATTAGTAAAATGATTTTTTCCAGATTGTTAGTAATAGTGTGTAAAGTTAATTCATCATAGCAGTTTTGTATTCATTATTTTAGTTGCATATTTTTGCTGGAAACAGTATTATATAAAGCTTATTATAAAAGTAAATATATCTTATTTAATGTGTATTAATTGCAATACGTTTAAGTTACATGCCCTTTTTAATATGTTTTTGATAAGATCTTTTAACATATTTTTATATTAAACCTATAACTTTATTCATTTGCCATTTCAACTTAATATACAATTCTGTTTTTTAAATTCTTACTCAACTTTTGATTACTTTAAAATTAGTCAAATGATTTTTGCCGAATTGTTTAGTAATATTGTGTAAAGTCAATTCATAATAACAGTTTTGTATTCATTGTTTTAATTGCATATTTTGGCAGGAATATTTGGTTTTATATAAAGCTAATTATAAAAGTAAATATATCTTATTTATTAGATTAAATATATCTTATTATCAGATTAGGTTACATACCCTTTTCAATATGTTTTTCATAACATTTTTCATAAAATCTTACATAATGAGGTTATTGGATTGCTTTAGAATTAAAGAATACCAGTTTTAGTTTTAAGCTTTCAATTTAGAATAAAAATGAAAATCAGGTCATAATAATAGTAGAGAATAATATTAAGAAAAGTCTACAAATAAATATTACTAGTGAATACCTTTAAATAACAAATTAATAAACATAGGTATTTGTCAATAAAGGAACCATGATAATTTTCGGGCAAGTAGGTGCTGACAATATAGAAAAATCATTTTAGATTATTCCATTTATATGTTACATTGAGAAGCAAAACATTTAGGATATTTGTTAATTATATAAGTTGTAAATTAGTTATTAATGCAAGTATTAGCCATTCCTATTGTATGTAACATCTCGGTAATTATTTACCAAGATGTTTCTTTTTAAGCATAATTCCTTTTTTTTATTCTATTCTTCCTTTTTTTTATTCTATTTTTATTCTTATTTAAATAATATTAAACTGAGCCTAACAAAAAAAAAAGGCAAAATGATTTATGGTGCCTTGATATTAGTAGGATCTGTATTTACCTGGGATAGGACTAAATTTAGCATAATATAGCTAAACAAAACCTCATTCATAATTATAATTTAACTTTTTAACAAGAATTCTTTTAATATACCCATACAATTAGGCCATTTATTAATTAAAAAAAGAAAATTACTTAGCCTAATTGAATATTCAGCAAGGTTTGTCCGCAACAGAATATTTAGTACATGGCTAGCAGAAAAATTTAAATACTTGTTCTCTAATATTACATTTTTCAATGTTTTTTTCCCTAAACTTCTTTTTTCTCACTTTTTTTTAATATAAAAGAATAAATTCTGTATTTAACTTTACTAACTGAAAAGAAAATTCTAAAATCTAATTCAATTTCAAAGCAATCATAAAAATTGAATACTAATTGGTTTCATACATATTATTAAATTATATAAAAGCAGGTGTTTATGTTATATAATAATTTATAAATTATATCTTAGAGTTTGCTTAAGAAAATTCAATAACTCTTTTAAGCTACATAAATAATTTTAATTCATAAAAACTGATAGCTTTTCATAAATGAAGTATATTGATTTAATTTTCTATTAAGTGATAAATCACTGCAATTTGCCTAAATATTTAAAAAATTTATGCATTAAAAATTAAGTACCTGTAATGAAAATTTGATTAATAAAAAGATAATAATAATTTCTTATAATTTAAAATTTTTTTTCATAAAGTATTAAAAAACCCAATCCCCGATGTATGTGTAAGTAAGTATGTGTGTGCAGTTAAAATTGTAAGAAAAAATTCTTCACTTTTCCATCTTAATTTAAGCTCTCAAAACAAGTTGAATGCATTTCAATTNTTAAGTACCTGTAATGAAAATTTGATTAATAAAAAGATAATAATAATTTCTTATACTAATTTAAAATTTTTTTTCATAAAGTATTAAAAAACCCAATCCCCGATGTATTCTTTGTAAGAAAAAATTCTTCACTTTTCCATCTTAATTTAAGCTCTCAAAACAAGTTGAATGCATTTCAATTTATAAATCAACTTTATTTATCTTGAATCAATTTACAATTACTTCCCCTTTGAAGTTAAATCTATTCAGTAAATTTTGGGAAAAATGTTTTTTTCCAAATGGGTTTTTTTATAAAAATTTGTGCTGGTGGATTTTGTGGGATATGCCTGCATTGGCAAACCTTGTACTATTTGGGCAAAAGTTTATCTGTAAAGCGATTTTTCTATTAAATGAAATAACAAAAAATCTTCTTTTATATATGAAATGAACAAAATGTTTATATCTATAATGAATGGAAGTCAATCATGTATGATCAGTTTGTCTACTCTTATTTGATATTGCATTTATTTTCTACTTATTGCCTTGATTCTTGAAATTCATGCACTATTGCACTTTAATATTACTTTAATACTGTATTTGAGCACAAAAACTTCTTCTTAAGGAAGTAAGTACCCAAGAAAACTGCAAATCAATATCCTGAATTAAAATGTATGATTTCTATAAACAAAAAATTGTCTCTATTTGTATATAAAACTTATTCCGTGTTCTTTTTTTTTTGTCTTGTCACAGATTAGTTGAATAATTTATTAGCAATTATTGTACCACTCAATCTACAGTATACTCCATGAATTGTTCCAAAGTGATATCTTTAATCAAGTCATGATATTTGTCATGTATCATGATATTTGTATATTTAGTCATAACATATTCATATTCCAGGCGCAGATCAATGGGAAAGAGTAAGAAATCTCCATCCGGTTGGAAGTCATTGTTTTCTAGGGGATGGCACACGACGAGTGGAAGGCGCAAAAATAGACACCTAAGAGGTGAAGGGGGTGAGAGACCAAAGATTGGTAGCCCTATCTTCTCTGAGCATTCACCACTAGTCTTGAAGGTGACTTACATCTTAACTTTATTTTTTAAAGATTCAATTATAAACTTTTTTATACTTAACTTAAACTTGAAGACTCAATTAAACAAAGTTTTCTTTTGTTATGTAACTGTTTATTGAATCTCCACATATGTGGTAATTAGTCTGATTATGAAACTGTTTGTTATAAAATGTCTGATTATGAACTGATTATGATTATGATCTGAATATGAAACTGTTTGTTATGTCCGATTATGAAACTGATTATCTAAACAACTGCAGCTTGAACTGCTTAACATGTGAAATTGTACTTCTAAAACTCTTAATCCCTTTGTTACAAAATTTTCAATCGAGCATATTTTTCTTACTTTTTCATTATTTGGTACTAATTTAGGTTAAAATAAGTTGAAAATACTTTATTTAGCATTTTAAAAATTTTTGATTTTGAAATACAGCATCGGACACTGGTGTTAAATGTGTTGTTAAATGTGACATTTTCCAAACAGTGCTCACTTCTAAACAATAGTTTTTCAAATTTGCACTTATTTGGAGTTGTTTAGATCTAAGAGAAGCAGTTATTCATCTTTAATTTACATAATCAGTAGAATCAGTTATGGATAAATTTTTGAAAATGAATGAAAAAAAAAATTTTTTTTTAAGCTTCTCTTTTTGGATTTTATATTTTAGTACAGATATAATTCTGAGAATTTGACATATTTGTTTAGTAACTGAGATTTTTTTATAATTAAGAAACACATAAAATATATTTTTACTTGTAATTAAAGCGTCAGAAAAATTATTTACCTATGCACCAAAAGATTATTGTGAGGAGAGTTGTTGCCAGCAATGTCAACCTTCATCTATGTTAAGGTACCCCAACATAGAATTGAGTTAACAAGTCTTATATACTCGTGAATTGGAATTATATTTTTGTAGTGGTAGATATACTATAGTACTCCCCCACCAGAATTTTATCTGTAATAGAATTCGATGAACGGATACCATTAGTTGATTCATTGCTGTTTTTGTGAGAAACCGTGAGCTGTATTAAGATCACCATACTTTTGCTGATAGTGAGTGCTGCATTAAGTTCAGGTCGTGATTGCTCCTTTGTTGCCATCAGCAGTCGAGTGTGTGCAGGTCAATGTTCTGTGTGATCGAGACTGAGTAGTAACAGCGCTAGGAGGTGGATAATGTTGCAGTTACAAGTAGCAAGTCAACTGCTCAATGTGGACCATCCATCAAAGTAGGCGTGTTTAAATCTAAGTTTGAATTTCTGTCGAGGTAGGCGTGTTCAAATCGAAGTAGGTCCTATCAAGATAGCTGTGTTTACATCATGTCTGAAGGTCACCAATGTGGAGTGAGTAGTTATCGCCATATCAACCTGCATCTAAAGGTACCCCAACATAGAATCGAGTTAACAAGTCTTATATACTAGTGAATTGGAATTGTATTTTTGTAGTGGTAGATACGCTATAATTATTTATTACTCTCAGCAAATATTGAATATTAATGTGCTTATATAAATATTAATGTGCTAAATAATAATACATTAAATGGTACATTTTTCAATGAGAAAAATGATTTGAAAACAAATTTCTAATATTTCTTAACAAATCATTTTTAATACCCAAGTATTATCAATGTAATCTCTCTTATTTATATTTTATATAAGTGTACATTTTTGCATTTCTGTATCTGTGTTTGTATTAACGTTTATAGTTTTATTTTTAAAAGTTTCATTTATTTAGTAAGTTTTTGATTAGTTAAATCTTTGATTCCCAAACTTTTTGACCATTAATAATTTTCTTTCGCTTTTCATTGTAATAAAACCATGACTAATCTTAAGAAAGAAAAAAAATTAATGAAGCTTTTGTATGAATCACTTAGTTTATTTGTTTTTGATTTCATTATTAATTGTGGCTCCCTGGGAAGGTGTGGCTGATACTTTACAAATGACTCATCCAATTACTCTTGAGTTAAACTTTGGCTTCATCACTAAGTTTTTTCTTGTATTTGTTCTTAACAAAATTGTAAAATGTTTCTGATCATTCTTACAAATCCAAACAAAATGAACTGCTTAGGGGTAAAAGCTGTATTTTTAAGCGGTATGCTTTTGACTTGTAACAATGTTTCTATAAATATAAAACTGTTTTTATTAAATTATCATAATGTCACTTAACATTCTTTACCTTGAGCTTTTCAATTAAGTACAAGATCGTCAGATTTTCTCTGTAAATTTCAGAATCGTATGACTTTCTCCATAATCACCTTTGCCGCCGTATGCATTTCTGACTGCCCTCTATGTTACACAGGAGATGATATGAACTTTAATCACTTAATAGTTAACCCAAATCTAAGCAACATTCTTTGATCATTCACAACTTCATACTTTTTCTACTCCTTGATGTAGAAATATAAAATAAAATAAAAATCTTTTGTAACAGCATATTTTTGTGTTAAATTACATGATGCGTAGCGTTTTTAAAAAGTGCTTAAAGCTGCTTATTTTCCTTTTTTACTTAAAGTCTTTGAAAATTATTTTGCTTTTTTTTAATGTATATAGTGCTTAAAAATATTTTTTGAGTGCTTAAAAAGTACTTAAAAGATGCTTATTATTTGTTGAAAGATTTGGCTATGCACCCTGAATTAGTACCACATTTAAAGTAATCTTAGTATTATGTATAATATTATTTAATGAAATCTCAGGTCTTTGGTTAGTAACTTTACAATCAGTAATTAATTAACTAATAGTATTATATATATAATATAAATTAATAGAATCTTTGTATTTCCTGTATTCTCTCTAAACGGTTTTAGAAGTGAGGTCTGCCCTGCCTGCCCTTTTAACTTATTGAAAATATGCAACTTTAATTTTTAATTTCATTCTTTCATTTTAGTAAGATTTTTCTTTTGTTGTCAAGTTATATAGTGTATTATTCTCATATTATTCTCTTTCATTTGGAGGTATATTGATGAGTTTTGTAATGATTTTAAATTTTACTATTATTTTTTTAAATAAATACCTTTTATTTAAAAATGCACCTTTAAATGTTTATTTTCTTTTAGATTTTCAGTTTAAAATATAAAAAAAGCTTTTAAGTTGTTTATCTTTAAAGTAGTTAACTCTGAGTATGTATAATATAAATTAGTGAAATTTCAGGTAACTTTACAATCAGTTACAAGTTTCTTTAATGTATTTTTTGTCCGTCAAACTGCTTAAATCTGCGGTAGGATTAGTAATAAAAGTAAATAACTTTGATTTTCCTAAAAAATTTTAAGTGTTTAATTTGCCGTATGATCTTTGGTTTACATAATGTAAACTTGTTTATTTGTGTTAACAAACAAACAACAATTAAAAAAATTTTCAAAAATTTTAAATTAAAAAAATAAGTCAATCGAATTACATTTAATTAAGGTTTGAAGCAATTTCGATAAGATATTTTTCTAAGTTTTTGGTTTGTATGTAAAACCTTTCTTGATGCATTAATTACAAATATATGTAACCCGTTTTTAATTTTCTTATCAAATAAATTATTTCTAATAGTTTTATTTACGTTCAAATAAATAGAGCTTTGGTCTATGATTGAAATTATGATAAATGTTTCTTTTTATTGTTTCAATTCTAATTCTGTTATTTAAAATAATTGTAATAGTTTTCTTTGGTTTAATGTAATATAACTCATCTAATAGATTCGAGGTTTCATTAATGTTTCCCAACTAATTTGTTTTTGACAATTTATTTTCTTCGATTTGTTATATTTGTATTAATATTTTTTATGCAAATATATTTTACTGAAAAATAACATGTTCTTGAAATATTCAAGAAATAGTACTTATTGCTCCTTTACTATAGTTTTATTTTAACCTTACCATTTTAAAATGACTGAAAATACTAATGATGTTATGTTTTGATTTTTACATTGTCAATCTAACAATTGCCCGAATTATTTTAAAACATAGGGGTTATTGCAATCAAAAATGCTACTTATTTCAATATTCACAAATAACTTTAATTTTTTCCTCATTGAATGTACTATTTTTTTTTTACAGTTTGATATTAAAAACTAAACTTTTATTTCAGGACAAAGCAGTTACAGAATCTGATGTTTCTCACACCAAACCAAAAAGGTTAAGAACTGTTAAAAGTGCAGAAAATTTATTTCCTCTTCTCGCAAATTCATCTCATTCAACTCAGGAATACGCACCTTCTGGTGGTAAGGCACTTACATTTCGTTCTTTATCTCATTGAAGCCAGAGCTTAAATAAGTATGACACAAACATTTGAATTGTGAAGTGTTTTTTTTCAATTTGTAGATATTTACTGCTAAAGCTTTTACATTACAGATTAGAACCCCAAATTCAGAAAGCAGAAACCCCAAAATACCAGAACTATTAACTATAAATCAGAGTAAAAGTCATCTAAAGCAAAACAGAAACCATTTGAACTACTAAATTGACTGATACATAGTTAAAAATAATTCTTCTTTCAAGGAAAAATAATTGTAGTAATTTTTTTTTCTCTTTGTTCTAGTTTATTGTAAAATTTAACATATGAAAAGGAAATGCTTTGAAATTGTTGACAGTTTTCCAAAAGTTGTAAAATTATGACGAAAAAAATTATTAGTGTTACCAGTCACAAAAAATTTTTAAATTTTTTTTGGGCTCTTCCAGTTTTTAAATAATATGACTATGAAGTTGATAATTACAATACTCACTTCATTTAAATAAACAAACTAAACGTTACTTGTGAAAATTCAACATTAAATAAGAAATTTTGGTTTATTATATTTGCGTTGTTGTATCTGTTCTTATATTTGTTGTTACAACTTGTGGCAAAAGACCCAATCTGGGATCTCCTGCCTTTAAACCAAATATTTATTGATTGGAAAAAACAGCATATCTAGCACACGCAATTTTATAACTGTTTTTCAACCTAAGTTTTGATAAACTTTGAAAAAAATACCACATATTACTATAATAAAGCACCAAAATGTCGAAGTCAAGATGTAATAATATTTAAATATTTTAACATAATATTTTAATATTAACTCCATTACAAACGCTATTGTTATAATGTTTCCATTTCGATCGTTTCTGAAACTAAAAGATTTCCATGTCTATTGTTCAAAAGTTTTCCCTACATTTGAAAAACATTTAAATTATTTTATTTTTTATAAAAAGAAGGATTTGTAACAGTTTTGCCAAAACAACTTAAATGTCACATATAATGTTTATGCATCAATTGATGAGAAAGTTATAACTTGCAGTGTAATGTTAACAGTAAATAAATTTCAAAATTCCATTTTATGTTTACAGAAACTTATGTCCTTTTTTTGTGTTTTACAGAAGATATTCCACTTTCTCAAGAGTTTGAATTCAACTCTCTTTCCGATATTCATTCCTCTCATTACCAAAGGCATATGCGTTCTTCATCTCATGATTCATATTTTGAGCGTCTTTTGTCTGCAAATGAATCTACTGTAGAAGATGTGCCATGTGAAGGTTCCCAAACCCACACATTGCAAAAAGTCCCAAATATTTTAGACTCTGGTCAACCTGCAAAAGGATCTCATGAAAATAACAAAAACTCTGGTGTTAAACGCAGTAAAAGTGCATACAAGCAAAAACTTGTCAGTTTCGACACAGAAGCGACAAGTCCCAAACTACAAAAGTTGAGCTTAAAGCGTTTGTACCATACTTTGAGTTCCCCACCTTTGATTAAGAAAGAATCCTCAAAAAGGGACCATAATTCGAGTGCTAATACGAATGCACAAATTGATCATTCAGAATTAGATAGTCATTTGTCTGGGCCTTTATCTGATAAACAATCATTTTCTACTTTTTCTGAAAATATGCAAAATTCAGTGCCTTTAAATAACAGAGAAATTCTTTTGTCAAACAGAGAATCTCAGAACAGCTGCCCCTTTAATAATCCAGATGTTGTAACTGTTGAAGTTCATCCTTCTGTTCCATCAACTTCCACAGCAAATCTTCCTGAAGACAGTCCAGTTAATTATGAGACAAGTTTAGCAGATGATCTTGATGACCATGTTAACTTTTCAATGGAAGCTACTTTATCAGACTCTGCAAGTTTGTCTCAACTGCTGTCATTTGATTCAAAAGAGCAAAATGTGTGCAATCCTGAAAGCTTAGAACACCAGTCTGGATATAGCTGGGCCCCTCAAGACAGTTCTTTAGCCACACCCGAATCCCCTACTGGGGACAATGTTAGTGACATTCCGAGTAGTGGCAGTTCTGCAAATAGTGGTAGTATTTCTGATGTAAGTAAACAAAATCTAGCTCCTGAAGCTTTTATTGCGGAGATGCAAAATAGGCATTTAGCAAACAATGGGGTTTCAGATAAAGATGGTATAAAAGTAACTCCTGATCTGGTTGATGATATTTCTCACCCTAATGATGAAAAACAACAGCCTGTTTCTTCATTGGAACACTTTCAGATAGCTTTAAGCTCTGGTCATGATACTTTTTCCCAAGAATATACTACTCTAAGTAATTCGGAAAATACTTCTATGACTTCTAGTGCTCATACTCCAAAAAGTAATGCATCAATTGATAATTTAATTTTATCTCCTCCTGAGAATTTCAACGATAGGCAAAGAATTTATGCATTTGATGAAGAAGATAACATGGTATCAAATGTAGTAGCAAAAATTAAAACATCTGCCAAATATCCTAGTGCTAGGACTATGGAAAGAAGCAAGACTGAAGTCCACGAAATATGTCCCAAATTTGTTTCTGGTATTGCAGTCTCTGGAAGCTTTGCTCAGGATCTCTATCGAGCTAACACTGATTCAGGGGAGAGCTTCCACAAAAAGAGAAGCTGTAGTGATAAATTGTCTCCAATATCTCCAATTGAAGAATCGAAAAGAAAGTTTGAATCAGAAATTGGACGGCTTATTGTCCGTGATAGGCAAATGAAACTAGAGATGGAGCAAATGAAAGCTGAGAGACAAAAGCGTGGAGCAGATTCTTCTATATTCTCTGAACTAGATAAAACTAGATTAAAAAGTGATAGGAAATTCGCTGATGCTCTTGAGTTTAAGAAATCACCCGTTAAAACGTGTGATAATGAGAAGAAAAGGAATGACTGTGATGAACTGCTGTTGAAGCCTGTACGAGAAGAAAGGAAAACAAATAGTGTTCCTCCCTTTTCATACTCTCGCTATATGCGAATGGAGAATAAGCCCTCTGTCAAAGAACTACTTTCAAAGTTTGAAAGTCATAAAGATGAGGATACTAGTGGCTCTCCAAAAGTTCATTCAGACAATTTAATTCCTCTTCAAAAGCAATCATCATGTGTATTTTCCAATGTGCAAGTGATAAATCATAATTTCCCTTTGACTTATTCCAGAAGTGTTGGCTCGAACTGTAATTTTGACCCGAGTGCTAGGGACAATCATTCTAAAGAGAATATTTTTCAGACTGAATGTGTTATTAGATTTCCTCATCCCAAGTTGCTGTCTCAAACTTATAATAAATCTGATTCCAAACACACTTTCCATGACTTTGGAACAAGTAACACTTGGAGCAGTGATCAGTATAACTTTTCATCTTCAAATCCATCAGAGAATTCAATCTTTTCATCTTCAGATCACCCCTTATCATCATCATCACCTAGACTAGATTCATCTTCATTGGTGAATTCTCTTGGGAAAAAATCATGTGCTGAACTACCGCCATTGTCTGAATCTGTTGTCTCTGGAAATTTATCCGATTCACTAAAATATGACAAAGAGTCCACCAAGTGTAGTAGAGACTGGGAAATGGATAATAGCTCTACAGATAATGGAAATAAGTTTTCCTGTTTTAAGGATACTTTTAACCGAGCTAACAGAGCTTTACAAATGAAAAATGAATTTCTGCAACGAGGTATCCCCCAGTTTGAGGAAGGTGAAAGGACTACTGAAAATGTATATTCTCTGGAAACAAATAGATTTTCTAGGTCACCTACCGAGTGTCGTAAAAGACAAACTCCCACACGCCAGAGACCTAAATCTGTACCGCCTCCCATTAGCAGACTATCCTTTTCGACAATTAAAGAACATGATACAAACTTTGCTAAATCTAACACTAAACAGACTGCATGTCCAAAAAATGTGCCAAAGACATCAAGTGTTGGCTTAACTAATGGTAAGACAAAGAGTGATTCTAGTCAGCCTTATGGCCTGCCCAAAAGAGTTAAGGAAAGAGCCGCTATATTTGAACGTTCTTTGAGCTTTTCTGGCAGTGTGGAAAGGTCCCCACCTTCATTTAATTACTCTCAAAAAGCTCAATCAGATTCATCTAACAGATGAAGCCTTTCTCAAGCCAAAGTATTGCTACTTAATGTCACTATGAACTGTTAACATTTGACTGGTTGTTGTTAATTTGAAATAATATGCAAGTTGTTTTAAATCTATCCTTTTTACAACTAAACTTTACTAAAATGGTAATTTCTGTGGTGATTATCATTGTTTTTCTGCATTAGCTTTGCATCCTTGTATAGTTCTTAGATAGACTTTGGGAACTCATTTACTGGCTCATTGATGATGAGAAGTTTCCATTCTAGATTTGCATTTTTAAATTTTAAACTATTACTAGTTGTTGCTGTGCATATAAATTGTTCGACTCCCTATTCTTTTAATCTATTTGAATGAATATTTAATTTAGCAAATTGTCCCATGCTTTTTCTTTAATATTCTCCTCCCCCAAGTTTTGCATTCTTTTTTTCTTTTTGATAATTACTAAAATCTATCAGTGAGGCATTATCCTTCTTGTAGAATTTTTTAATAGTCATTATTTTTATGTATCAACCACTTTATCGAAAATGTCTAAATCTCATTTTTCAGTTTTAAGGACTTTAAAATGAATTACAGTAGATGATTTTTATAATGCAAACCGTGAAATGTGCAGCTTTGCATTCTATTGAATTTTATGTTATATACTTACCATCTAAACATGGCAGCAATATTAGTCCCAAATAGATCAATCATAAAATGCTTTAAAATACTTCTTAGATACAATTACTTATAAACACCAAATTATGCACTTGGGTATTAATTGTTGACAGAAAAAAAAAATGAAATCTTTCTAGAACATAGAACTATTAAAATATTTATCGATTTTCGTTTACATAACTTTCGAAATTGTAGCATCTTAACAAATAATGTTATGTAACAAGTAAGGTAATGTCTTTTAAATAATGTAAAAAGTTAATTTGCTCTTGCTTAGTTACAGAAATTTTTCAACTGCCATTTTCATTGTTTATACTCATAAAAGTCTATGCGGTTTATGAAGAATCACAGCTTATAGAATTGCATTATGCAGATCTTCTACTGTATTTGTATTATAAACTTATAAACTTTCATATGTGGTATTTTATTTCTGCAGATTTTTAAATTTGTTCATAATAATAGCATGCAATGTTTGCCTATTTAAATATTTTCATATTGGAACCAATTTGATTTGGATTCTTTTTAACCTAATCTTAATTTATTTAAATTAATATATTACATTTTAAGCACACCTCATATTTATTAAACACTTTATGAAACTGTACATAAATTATGATTTAATGCATTCCTTATTTACATCATCTACATGTAGTATTAGGCCTTTAATATTAAGTTTTAAGTAAAAACAAATGCATTTAAGTAGCAACAATTTCTTTTTAAAATGTTTATGTAATAGTTTTGCCCTATCTGTCTAAGAAATATTATTTCAGTCAATAAAAATAAATGAAGAAAATATGTTTTATGTACAATTTTGGCTACAAAATGTACCTGGGTTATTCATTGTAATTATAATTATTATGGGCTTCCATAAAATATAATAATATGTAATCAATATTTGCAATGTATAAATAGTTATTAAATTTCACACTTCTTTAATCATGCACAATAAAGAGATATTAATTTAGAGATATTCTGTAGTATGTTTCAAGGAATTATTCCTAATAGTTAATCGCTTCATAATAGTTCTTGGTGAATAGAGGAAATAAGGAAGAAAAATAAAATTATTTCATTGGTATTTTAAAGTCTAAATATATGGATTTTCATGTGTATCATTAGTTCTGCTCATAAATTTAACCAATCTTAAGTTGAATTTCTTATGAAATGTTTTATTTCTGATTGAAATGTATAATTTATTTATGCATAGTAAATTACCGAGAAAAAGTTTAAATTTTAGTTTGCTGGTAAGAAAAAGGAATTAAATTGCTTTTATTTAGTTTAATTTGAAGGCATTTTAATTTCTGTGTTATGGTGTTATTACCATTTATTTCTAAATTGGCATGAAATTAATGCAACAAATTTGGAAGGGTTTCATTGATTTGTATAATATATTTGCAGTACTACAACATCTATTCTACTTGTATGTTAAGATTTCATCTTTTAAAAAATGTGATTTTAATGGTCTCTATAAATTGTTTTGAAACAAACATTGTATAAATTTTTTCTTGCAAATTCATCATATTTATTTAATCAGTGATAATTTGAAAATGAATATTGCCATTAAATATTTTTTTATTGCTAGTTAAGTGTTTAGTTTTGATAAAAATCCATCAGTATTTTGATTTAAAGTAGAATAATTATTTTCTTGCGTCTTTAAATATAAATAATTAAAACTCCATAATAATCACACTACTTCTTTCCTGATTTTTTATTATGAATACTTAGTTTTATGAAATAAAAAACATTTTATAAAGGACAATTTTACTATGCTGGGTTTTTAATTGTAACTGTACAAAATTATTTGTTTGTCATAAAATTTGTTGTCTTTACTTTTAATTACAGTTTTATATTAATTTAATAAATCTTTTTAAAACTAGGCTTATAAAAATGAAATGTCAATTAATCATAAAATTTTAGTGTTAAAGTAGTGGCTCGATTTAATACTTTCATGCTTTTTATATTGTAGTTTTAGTTATTAATATTTATAAATCTTATTTATATTAACATAGTAAAATTCCAGAAGATTGAAGCAAAAAATGTACGATTAAGAGTTCTCGATTTTTTTATACTAATAATTTTTTTATAGACTTGTAAATTTCAAATGAGGTCAAATGTTTGTTTTTGTTCATCTGCTTAATAGGTGAATCACTTAGAATTAGTGGAAAGAAAATTTAAATTCTGAGTGAAATTCTTGTAAGAAAAAATATTTACAAGTAAATTCTGTGATATTATTTGTTAAGTAGAATATCTGTGCATTCGTTTAATTTCTGATATATTATGTGATGTCAAAAATATAGAATAAAATGCTTGTATTTTTATGTTGTACATGGGTGTATTTTTGTACTTATTGCATTGAGCAAGTATATGGTGTACCACAAACAGACACTTCCTCATGAATTCTTCGAAAAAGTTAATTTTTTTCTTAAAAAAGTTGTATTTTGAAATTTTTATTTCTCCAAACACATTTTGTTTAAAATTTGGGTTGTGCTGTTTAAAATAGCGTTTAAAATTATGTAACTATAAATATACAATTTAAATTTTTTATTAATTATTAAAAAAAATCTTTTTTAGTCTGAAATCATCTTTATTTTAAGTGAAGTTTATATATGAGTGCAATTTTTTTTATTTGGTTCGTTAGTTTTAGAAATATGGTGAAAACTATAAATAGTTAAAATGAAAACATGGGGATCATGCTTTAGTCTCTCTTTTAATTAAACAAGTTTATATATGAATGCAAATTTTTTTTTTAATTTGGTTCATTAGTTCCAGAAATATGGTGAAAATTAAAATGAAAACGTGGGAATCGTGCTTTAGTCTCTCTTCTGATTAAACAAGTTGAACCATATTTCCATAGTAAAGAACAGTGATAAATGTTACTAGGTAAGATATGTTAGAGATATGAACCTAAACATCTATCTATATTACTATCTTTATCTTTCTATATAAATATTTTACGTGTCTAATGACGTTAGTATCTATATAAATAACCGTTTTAAGTTAGGGGAAAAACAAACTTGTTTGATAAAGGACTGAGAGTGTTTCCTACTTAACACAAGGCTTACGAACGTTTCTTATATACACGAACACGCAACAATTTGAAGCATGAACAAATACATATAACTTACAGAGATGCCAACTTTCTCCGGACCACAAATATATATTTTAAAGTGGTAGTTTATCAATTGTGCTTCTTGGTTTAATAAATTCAATTTGAGTAGATTTTTATCCACCACTATTTCTGTATAATTCGTAGGCTTATATAATCCACCACTTAATATTTGCAAAATTTACTTTAGTAGTTATTTACCGTTTTTTTTTAAAAATTATTTTGGCGTGTCTGGAGCAGTTGGCATCTCTGCACTTAGAAATCAATGTAATTATATACTATAAGAAGGAAAAAAATGAAAATGTGAGATATATATTTATGAAATATTCTAGTATTTTATTTTTCAATACTCGAATTGAGCAACTGAAACCTTCAAAATCTGACATCAATTGACATTCTGCGTTTGTTCTTCCTATTATTGCTTATCGGCAACAGTTGTTTATCGCTTGTTTCATTTGAGATAACAATATCGGATAACGGATCGAAGTATTGTCGGTACACTCCTATTTATTATGGATATGACGTTTGCATGTTTACTCATAATTTTGTCTAAATTACGATCGCGTCAAATTAACGCATATCCGTAGAGATTGGTATACCACAAAGAGAATTTCAATATCTCAACGCTTTTGAAGAAAATAGACTTCAATGTATGTTTATCTCAATCAATGGACAAAAGTCATTACAAGAGATAAAATAAAAATGCAAACGGGTTTTGTAATTTTCCTTATAAAATTCGAAATGCGTCATAATGACGCGTCCCGTAACCCTAGTGTTAAGTGACACTCTGATTTATTGAAGATCCCTTTTTATAGACGATGTCTACAGATCCTTGCACACAATTTACGTTTGTACAGGAAAATAATAAGTGTTTATCTTTCTTATTAATGGTAATTGCTATAAATTTCTTCTGTTTATCGAAAACCATTTGCAGCTCCCCCCCCCCTCATAATCGTTCATCCCATCTCCATAACCAAAGGTTAGCTGCCTTATGTGCACTTATACCGTATTTCTAAAATTCTTTCTAACAGTTATCTTCTCAATGAAGAGCTGCTTTACCTTAAAGCTATCGCTGTAGACTGTGGTTTTCTTCCTAATAATATTGATTCCACTTATAGAAAATTAATCTCGCAATCTACCAAACTCTCCAAATCGAACAATTTGATTGTTTTGCCTGCTTATCCGAAAATTAGTTCTCAAATTTATAATGTTTTGAATAAACTTTAGTTTGAAGTCGTTTTATCCCTGTAAATAAACTAAATTCCTCCGATCTTAAGACTCTATCTCTGGGTATTTATCACATTTCGTATAAATGAGGTATATATGTAACATAAAAAGCTTAAATTTATCTTTTTATGTTAGTTCGTTTCTGAATGCCCTTTTATTTTATTTTATTATTCGAAACGAAATGCTTTCTCACACTTTTTAATTCGCATCCTGTCCTTAAATCTATTTTCGGCTCAACCATGCATTTAATTAAAAGCAAGATATTTTCCCCTTTGCTCTGTGTGAGAATCGCTCGACCTACTTGATAAACCAATTACATTTACTAAGATTTCCCTAAATTTAAACATTTTACGGATTTACTTTTAAAGATTTTCCCTAACATATAATCGAGAAGCACAACTTTTCGTGTACACTTTCATGACTGCTCTCTGACTAATAATTAATAAATAAATTTTGTACCCTTGCACAAACTTTTTCCTCTGTCCTTATTGGTTAAGCCACTTCACACCTGTTTGTTTCTTTACTTCTCTATCTTCGTTTGATATTTAGACACTGAGGAAGTTTCTTGTTTATAGAACTGAAACCATAGTATAACACTAAATTTATGTACTCGATTTGTACTTTATTCATAATGTTTTTTGCTGTAGCGTACATAGCACAAAATAGTAGAACTGCGACTTTACTGTTTTCTATTTGAAGGTTATAATCATTCAAAACCTTCAAATAGAAAACAGAGGTTCAAAAAACTTTTTTTGATTTCAGTGCCAAAAATAGTTGTACAAACAGAAAATAATGTTTTTTAATACGCTATGCCAAAAAATGTAGCAATAAATTTGTAACTTGTAACAATTATTTTGGTTATTATATGCAATAATTGCATGAAATTTAGTAAACCTAGTTTAAATATTTATGAAGATACCGACATTTTTATAAAAAAAAAATTTTTTTTGGTCATGTTTTTTTTTTGTTGGTATGACTTTAAAAAATAATCAATAAAATTAAGCAAAATTTTTGGAGTAATTTAAAATTAATTGCAAAATTATTGTTTTGAAATTTAAGAGTCAATAGTTAACATGTAAAAAATAGCGCAAGATATGAGTAAGTAAAGTAAATCTTTTATACTGCGCAGGCGCGGGAACAAATTGAAAAATTTCTCGTCAATTTTGTAGTGAATTGTAATTGGCAACTAATAAAAAAAACCGATTTGAATATCTTAAAAATTTAAAAAGTTTCAACCAGTTTTCGTATCTTTTGAAAGAAAGCTGAAAGTGATAAAAGGGTTTTCTACAATTATATTGAATTATAAGACAAAATTAAATAACAAATGATAATACAGAATTGAATTTAACTAATAAGACGTGGGAAAACTATGGTAATGTCTGAATATTGTAGGTTAAATCATATTATGAGCATGGTAAATCTTTTTTTTTTGGTGAGTGGAATTTTCACTTACATTATTGCAAATCTAGTACATGCAACGGAATATACAACAAATAACAAAAAGAGTGGGGATATGTATGCATGAGTTGTATGGCAATATTAAGATATTTATCCGTTTCGGAGTAAAAGACCTACAACCACAGAACCTATATAAGCTTCTATATTAGTATAACATAGCTTTTTATTACCACAGTACTTATATCGGG